ACTCATAATCCGAGGCGCCAAATAAACATGAAGACGTAAAACAGCAAAAGTACGGCCATAAAAATATAAATGAAATTCTAACTATTTTTCAGAGCCTTTAGTTTTTACACTTTAGAATACAATTCATGTCAAAGACAAACTAAGGTACATAAAAAAATATACATAATACTCAATTTCAAACCAATTAAAGGACAAATAATCAACAAAACAGTTCTTTGACACCTCTTTAACACAAACGGCGCATTGACATACCTCCTTCATGGCTTGTGGCTCTCTCGAACTCTCTTCATCACAAATAATCATTTTCAAACAGTAAACAAACCCTCACAACATTGTCCAAAGGTAACTTCAAACCCGAGGTTAGATAGTCAGGCTATTACAATGACGTAACAAGGGAAATTCCGCCCAGTCTCACCCCAATGTATGACGTCATAGACTGAACAACAAAGTCCACTTGTCAACAGACTAGATTGGCGTTAAATTGACTTCCTCACGAAGCCATCATATATCATGTTGTAAGACCACAAAAATATGTTTTGCGGTTTCCGAAAACTCTATATAGTAAAATCGATGAGACTTTGGAAAGGTTATATGTTTGTTTACGACTTTTGCTTTGTTATACGTGATTGCCCTATACCACAAAGTTTTCAACTGCGGCCTCGGTAAAACTAAGTAGACAGTCGTATTTTGGAGATCACGGACACAAGACGGGCTTTGGGACCCATAGAAGGCTCTACATGTATGTCAGTTCGACTTTAAGACTTATTCACTTATTTGGGTAAAATGTACGCTTTGTTTTCAGATTTTTGTTCTCTTTTTTAACACCTCTTTTGTTCTTTTCTCTAACACATCTCTTACTTTAATTGTTTATTTCTCGTTACCATGCCTACTTTGCTCCTATTGTTCTATTTTCTTTGCTACTCTCACTATATAAACTCACAATTAGCCTAGTTTCTTCTCTTTACTCCGACGAAGGATTAACGTCCGAAACGTCAGTAAGTTATTTCACCTACTTTTTTACGGAGTTAAATTTATCTTTTTACATAACTGTTTCTTTAGAAACACCGACGCAGCTCACACTAGTTNATTAGACTAATACGTCTAATTCTAACACTGGAATACAACTCCACTCATAATCCGAGGCGCCAAATAAACATGAAGACGTAAAACAGCAAAAGTACGGCCATAAAAAAAATAATTGAAATTCTAACTATTTTTCAGAGCCTTTTTTTACACTTTAGAATACAATTCATGTCAAAGACAAACTAAGGTACATAAAAAATATATATAATACTCAATTTCAAACCAATTTAAGGACAAATAATCAACAAAACAGTTCTTTGACACCTCTTTAACACAAACGGTGCAGTGACATACCTCCTTCATGGCTTGTGGCTCTCTCGAACTCTCTTCATCACAAATAATCATTTTAAAACAGTAAACAAACCCTCACAACATTGTCCAAAGTTAACTTCAAACCCGAGGTTAGATAGTCAGACTATTACAATGACGTCACAAGGGAAATTCCGCCCAGTCTCACCCCAATTTATTACGTCATAGACTGAACAACAAAGTCCACTTGTCAACAGTCTAGATTGGCGTTAAATTGACTTCCTTACGAAGCCATCATATATCATGTTGTAAGACCACAAAAATATGTTTTGCGGTTTCCGAAAACTCTACATAGTAAAATCGATGAGAATTTGGAAAGGTTATATGTTTGTTTACGACTTTTGCATTGTATACGTGATTGCCCTATACCACAAAGTGATACCACAAAGTTTTCAACTGCGGCCTCGGTAAAACTAAGTAGACAGTTGTATTTTGGAGATAACGGACACAATACGGGCTTTGGGACCCATAGAAAGCTCTGCCTGTATGTCAGTTCGACTTTAAGACTTATTCACTTATTTGGGTAAAATGCACGCTTTGTTTTCAGATAATTTCAGTAATAATTTTTGTTCTCTTTTTTAGCACCTCTCTTGTTCTTTTCTCTAACACATCTCTTACTTTAATTGTTTATTTCTCGTTACCATGCCTACTTTGCTCCTATTGGTCTATTTTCTTTGCTACTCTTACTATATAAACTCACCCTTTACCGACACTGGTGAAAAACGCACTGCGCATGTCCACAGCTTTCCGTTGAAATCTGCCTAATTTCCTTTGTAAAGCGATTTTTGAGAAAGTTTTTTACAATTTATAAGCTCGTTCACGGATAGATAAGATTCAAATTTCCATCAATCATTGTTCATGATATGTTCTTTTAGTATGTGGTTTCTATTTTTATCTTGTCATTTCTATTTTGAGAAAATGAGGTTTTTCGTAGTGTTTTCTGTGTTGTCGCTGTAAATCGCCAGGCGCTCTGTTTACAGATTTCAAGACGCGAGCGGACGCGAGCGCCCACTGGCGGGAAAGCTGTGGGCATGCGCAGTGCGTTTTTCACTAGTGTCCCCTTTACCTAGTTTCATCACTTTGACTCCGACGAAGTATTAACGTCCGAAACGTCAGTAAGTTGTTTCACCTACTTTTTTACGGAGTTAAATTTATCTTTTTACATAACTGTTTCTTTAGAAACACCGACGCAGCTCACACTAGTTCACCCCTAGTTTTCGCCATTTCTACTGTAAGACGATTTATAGCTATTTGGAGAGAAAGGCGAATACACGACCGAAATGCACTCCTGGGATTGATAAATGTTAATATTCACCTTAATGACTACTTCGCCTTCTCGGTTCCCGCCATCAGTGCTTCGATGTTCCGTTACCATGACAGCCTCCCCACCTTCCTCTATGACCTTGATATTGGACTTGCCTTGAGTCAGTATTCTGTAGTAATCTGACTGGGCGATACATACGAACTG